TATTACTACCACTACTACCACTACTACCACTACTACCACTACTACTACTACTACTACCACCACCACCACCACCACTACTACTATTACTACTACTACCACCACCACCACCACTACCACTTCCACTACCACTACCACTAGTACTACTACTATTACTAGTACTCCTACTGCTCCGAATCCTACGGCCACTGCCACTGCTGCTGCTACTTTTTTCTCCTGCCACGCAGCCTGGGGGGTTGCCGTTTCTGGGGATGACAACTATTACGCTTGAAGCGCGTGTTGTCTCAGAGCATGGGCTTGGATTCTCGTAGTTTGATGTTCTTCTTGTGCGAGTGCCTGTGCTGGTGCGTTGGTGGCGCCTCGGTTTTGGTTGTTTGCGTTCTCGCGCGTTCACCGGCGCAGGCCTTAACGAACTTCTTCGGCTCCTTGCCCCGGACCATGATGACTTTGTATCAAGGCATTTCTGGTGGCATTGATTGGTACAACGCCGTTGAGGTCCTCGCGCCCGTCAGTCCAATCTGTGAGTATGTGTTTTCGGCGTATGTGTTCTTTACAGTATTTTGCTGCTTGAATATCATTACCGGAATCTTTGTGGATAATGCCAAAGCTCTCAAAGTCGCAGATCTGGAAAACATGTGCCTTGGTCCAAGATTCAGACATGCTCAGAACATGTCAAGCCGCTGAGATGCTGCGGTGCAGGGTCCACTGAAAAGATCATAGCCAAGGCATCAAGAGGCCAGACGCGAAAGGAAAAAGTGGATTTCGGAGGTGGCTGAGCTGTTCTCAAAAATTTCCGAAAACAACGAAGGGCGACTTGCACGGGAAGACTTTGTGCACCATCTCAACCATTCAGATCGAATTGCCACTTGCTTTCACAAGCTTGGTGCCTCGGCGGTCGCCACAAAGGCAGTGTTGAAACATTCGTTGCATGTTGCCTGGAGGCATCCTTCGCATCCCTAAGAACGAATTAGGAACAGAAAAATGTAGGATATATGCGTTTTCCCGTTTTCCGTCGGGTAAGAGCTTGCAGGCAAAGAGCAGTCATGCCCATAGGTAGAGCGTTTTGTGCGCTAGGTCTGTTGTGGTTTATTGTAACCGGTGTGGAGACGGCGTCTGCTTGGAAGTGAAGCTGTAGGTCAAAATTTTCTGCAGCAGCTGCAAACCGATGATAACCGATGCCTGCTCCCACGCATCGCGACATGTCAATCAAAATGCTGCGGCTGCGTTTAGTGACCTAACCCATCATGATGCCATTTTCACCCCTTTTCTAGGGCTTGCAGCCACATGATTTTGATCATGGTGATCACCACCTGCCGCGTACGGCACAAGCAGATCATTTCTTGTTGGACGATGGTCCTGTCCAGCAGCTCCAAATCTCGATCTTCCGCAAGCCAGGTATACTCCAGGCTCCTCCGAACCATATAGCTTTTGGTTGGCCAGGTTCAAAAAGCCAATTTGGAAACATTGCACACCCAGTGCCAGTCTCTCCTGTCTCTACACCCTACACTTTACACTGTACATTGCACACTCTACACTTTGCACCCCGCGCACTACAATCTATAC